TACTCTTCCTATTTTAATCAGTCACTATTTTTTCTTCCTTTCCTATAAGGATACAGAACACAGAATACCAATTTCCAGCAAAACAACTTGTCAAGCTATAGAGTGAGGCCTGAATAGAAGAGTCAGCAGCCTCAGTGGAAGCTGCAGTGGTTCAGAGAACACTGTAAGGTTGACAGCACAACCAATTTGCACAGGAGTTCCAAAGAGATGCAGGTACTAGTAGCCTCAAGAAAGCTTCCTGAGATTTCCATCACTAGAAAAGAGCACTGTGGGGAGTTTCTACTGAACGGTGGGGCAGGGCTAGCACAGACAAAGAACATGATTTACTACTTGCCATGTCAGCTTTTGTGGACTCTGCATTCTGCACTTAAAGGACTTGATGTCGAGACATACAAAACCAGGTATAATCATTTCTATGCACCACAGTCACAGTTTTTAAAGCTTCTTTTTTTTAAGTTTCTCTTAAGAGAGAGAGGATGAAAGACAGAAAAATAAAAACTTGGAAAGCAAATTTTCACTGTAGTTTACATGGATTTCTTCAGGCAAAACTCTCCCTCCTGTTACAGAAAGCCCACTAAAGTCAGTTTGTAGGAGTAGTGAAGATATACTCCCATGTCATATTGCAGTGAAATCTTTTTTTCTTAATTTGTACTTCCCCTGACGGCAGTTTCATTATTCAAGACATGCAGCAATGTATTCTACAGGATCTAAAGACCACTTCTTTCAACTTTCAAGATGAGTTCACATTTTCGTTTCTGGGAGCAGACCATATTTGTACAAGTGGTAAAGGGAACTGTTTCTTCTGTATTCTGAGTGACCAATACAACTCTTTAATGTTATTTAAGTATTATTATTTCCTTTATCAATCTATACAATATTAAGCACCAAAATACAGTTAAGTATCTTAAAAACCATCTCCTCTCACCAAATACATACTATATACACAGAGTACATATCCAAGACCCTACCCACCAACAAATACTTGATTGCTCACAATAGTGACTATGAAATCAAACTAACCAGGTTTGCAACGTAATCCAAAACTATTAGGTCAATCTTCTTTTTTCCTACATACTGTAGATGTCTCGTAAGGTGATCCTTCAGCTGAGCAACCATCTAGAAAAAAAAGCCAAAAATTCAGTATACTTGGGCATCTTCAAAAAAGATGCAAGAACTGTAGCAGGTTCAGGGCCTGGTCACTAGGTATTAACACAACAAAATGTTTCCCTGTTACAAAACTCCAGATGAGAGCCCAAGCTACCGTACAATCTTGCCAAATTCAACAGCAGATGTGAATATTCAAAATGGTTAGTTGGTGCAAAATCAGCAAAATGAGTGTGAAGTTGAACTTTCAGTGACATTGAAGAGAAAAAGCTTACAGTTCTTACATGTCTCTGGGTCAAGTCAAATGAATAGGGTAAAAGAAGGATTTTAATAAGAAACCTGAATCCTGAGAATGTAAGTATTTCTTACGTACAAATAAACCTAAGGGATTTTACAATAAAGAAAACTAGCACAAGTTTGTGGTAGTAGCGAAGAAGCTGTTTTAATAAGAAACCTGAATCCTGAGAATGTAAGTATTTCTTACGTACAAATAAACCTAAGGGATTTTACAATAAAGAAAACTAGCACAAGTACAGTTTGTGGTAGTAGCCAAGAAGCTGAGAAACTGAGTGATTAATGGCAACTTCAGGTTAAACATTAATCGTAAAGTCTTTAAAATCAGGTGTTTGTTATCATACAGACCATGCCACTCCCTACCCTCTCCTTTCTGAAATATTCTCTGACCTCATGTAGCTTCAGATTGCAACTCAAGTCCATGCTAGTTCTTTGCTAAGAATTACTGTGAAGCATTATTTGTTTTAAAGCTCAGTGTGAAAACTGAGGCAAATAAAAATCTCTGTCTCAAGGAGTTTACAAGTAGATTAATCTCAATGTGTCAGGACAGCAATATAGGTATTAGGAAAGCACTGACAAAGGGCAAGAGTGACCTGCTTTTTGGATCTATCTGAATAAACTGCAGGGAAGGAATGTAGAGACGCTTCAGAAAATGAGAGGTAGAACTTGGAAGCAGGGGGACAAGACTGCAAAGGATGAAAATCTGCCTTAGATTTGGACAGACAGGACAGTGTTGATATGCTCTTCACAGACGCAGTGCTGAGACCTTCCAGTGCATGCTGAAGAGTTTTATTTCATTTTAGCTATAAGAGAAGAAGAGATAAGTGAACATTTCTATTTACACAGAGGGAGGTCAGGATTTATCACCCAGAAGCATAAGGATGGGAGATCCTTTAGGGAGATCATCAGTGAAAACAGCGCAAAAGAGGAAGGGACCTCAGAATAGCCATAGCAGTCCCAGAAGTGAGGTAAAAGGAAAAGGAGATAGTAAAAAAGGTTTTAAATTGAGCAGCAAGAATATCTGTGATCTTCTCTTTGAGGAAAGCAGTGGTGGAGAATTCACTTACACATGTTTTAAGGATGTAAAGTAGTCCAAAAATAACTGACAGAATAAGATGAACTCCAGGACAGAATAACAGTTTCTAGCCACAGAAAAGTTGTATAGGGAATAAACATTTTGACACATCAACTTTCCATTGCTGTTTTCCCCTATGCCTTATGATATCATGACCTGTTAAGATGATATCATGATATCATGACTATGAACTTTAAAACTTAGGAAATACCATGTTTGTCCCATAGCTACCCTTGAGTGAGCTTCCTCTCAACACTGGAACTTAGAAGCTTAGTCTTTACATTTGTTGACGCTGTGCGTCCTCTAGTGCACGCTGACAAAAGCACATACCAGTCCCATTAGTAATTGCTGCTGATAATCTTCCTCTTGAAAGAGAGGTATTAGCCTTTCCTCTGAAATAAACAGAGCAACAATCATTCAAGGACATGACACTATAGAAATACCATGAGACTTCAACCAGCTTCAAAAGTACTTAGAAACATTTACAAACAAACAGAAGTTGTGGTTTGATCGACTCACCTACAGAACTAAGATAGTGAAGAATCAAGGACTGCATAAGAGAAAACTTCGGAATGGAAAATAACCCTGTATCTGTCATCTTATCCCTGAAGTGCTTAACATAGTGCAACACAAGCTTGTCACACCACTTTACACTTCATTTGCATTACTCTCTTCGATATTTAAGTGAGAGCTATCACACTGTGGTGATTCAGTAGAGCAAAGAAGCACGGAGAACCTTCTGGTAACATCAGTGCAAATGTGTATACTATTCAGATCTTGTAATTTACAAATGAACAAGCTAAAACAGCTGCACGGGTTTTCCAAGGAAATGGCTAGACAGAAAATAAATATTCTACAAAATCACCTCCCACTTTCCTGCTTCTCTAACATGGTCTGGCTGCTTCTGTTACTCAGATTTGCAGACTGCTATGTAAAAGAACACAACTTTTCTAACTAAATGGAAGGAGGTTAGAGTATCTACTGAAATTTAATACCCTGTATTTCCTAATCAGTGCTTCCTGTCTACTAACAGCAAAGGAAGAAAAACAATCTCCTATTTCATCATGTAGTATAAAATCAAGTCAACATTTTACCGATCCAAGTGCTAAATTTTTACAAAATTCTTTCCAGCCATCTTTGCTCACCTGGAAATATATTTACTCCACCACTCAGCAGCACAAAGACCTGTGTTGTTTGATTTTAAAGGACCTGAAGAAAAATCTACAGGGAAGATACACTACATTGACGCCTGTTAGCAGCTGGCTGCTATCTAGAAATTCTCTATTAACAGTTAAACATCTGATTTATTTATCAATAAGCGCCTTTGGAAATCATGAACCTGAGGCTCGCAAAGTTGATACAAAGTCCCTCAAAGTCAGAGCCCATAGTGATAACCAGCAGTGGTGTGGATGACTAGTGTTAGAGGCTGGAAATGAATGCACTGAAAATTCTTCACAATAAAAGGAGGGAGCAGCACTTAGATCAGCATCATTGCACAGCACACAGTGGCAGGGCACACAGAAAGCACTGATGTGTGAACAGCAGGAACATCATTTACTACTAAATTCAGTTTTACTTATTTCTGAGAGGAACCGAGCATCACAAAAATCTCAAGTGCTCCTGGCCTCAGGAAATTCATTACATCTGCTTTCTCTAGACCGTGATTTTTTCACCAGCCATAATCTCTTCCAATACACAAGTTCTAGAGTTGCAAAGGCAGCTGTAACTGGACAAGACTCAACAGCAACATGCCATCACTGATACATCCTGAAGAAGAAATCCTTAGGCAGACAAAGGTTTACTGCTTATGTTTTTAGATCCAATGTGAAGTAGGAACTTGATTTTCAAGGGTTTCCTAGTCTGTGTATGATCCTACCACTACTATCAGAGATAGCAGTTTTTCTCTAATTTAAGAACTGCTCATCTTAATGTCTCCAACTCTTCAGTGCTGAAAACACACAGAGCAATTTATTTTTAGCCAGCAACAGCTAGATGGAAATATCCTAATAAACCTTACAGCTAAGGCCTTCATCAAGACAACTTTTACTTACCAGAGTCCCAAGTGTCCAGATGAGAAAGCACCCTGGGGTTTGAAACAAAAATCAGCTTGTTTCATATGCATTACTCTAAAGGATTTCGTAAGGACATTAAAAACCTTAAATGACCTGTTGATCTTTCAAAGATAGCTAAAGAAATCAAAGAACTGTACATGTGACTACATTTAGTAAAGATATCAAATAGCATAAAAAAATTCTGTCAGAGTGACGCAAAAAATTGCATCAGAGTAACGCTTCACATCTACCATAAATACCCTAGCTCTAGAGGCTTGGCTATTTCAGATCACGCTGTAGTGATCACAAGGATTCCAATAATTTTCAGCTGGATAACCTTCTTTAAAATAAGATATGTAATCAGATACCTAATAAACTATTTAAATGGCACGTTAAATCTTTCAGCATACTTCGACAAAATAAGAAATTGCAAATATAATAGAAAACAGTACTTACTTTTTGGCATTTTCAAAAATATTCCTCAAATATGCTGTGGTTCTTCTCTCCTCTCTCTGGTTTGTAAACAAACAAAAATCCCCAAATGAACAAGCAGAAGGCCAATTAAAATACTCCCTGATAAAATGCGGATGAGAAATGAAGCTGGGTTTCCCTTCAAATGGAAATACACATAGTGGGGCTTCAACCTGCCTTCCAACTACCCATGCTCATAGGCACTCACACACATCTAACCAACATGCTTTTGTTTAGTTTCTTGCATTATTTTAACAGAGTAAGACTTACAGGCAATCACCTTCTTAAGTAAAATGACTGCAAGTCTTTGCACTTCTCAAAATCACATTCCCATTTCTTTACCCTCAAAATAAAAAAGCTAACTCTTTCATGTTTGTCTTTAAAACATCCACTTCAGAGGCAGCTCTGGAGACTGTTTCAGTGCATGCATATTTACCTCTTCTGAAAGGTTACGCCATTCCCTCCTGAGCACATTATTATGGTAATGCAAGTGTGGCTCTGCATACTTCACACTCTCCAAGTTTGAGTTGAGTTTCTCCCAGAAGCCTTTGGAGTTTTGGAACTGCAAAGTATTGCAGGGAAAGCATGAATACAGGCTGCACTCTTAAAGAAATATCTAATCACCCTCCCACTAAGTGATTGGAAAGAACTGTGATTAATGTAGCTTCATAACAATCTAAGTGAAAAAAGTTAACAAAAGCAGTTAGGTTATGTTTTCCCAGTGCTTTTTATTTCCTTGATTTGACGGCAAGGGTAGCACTTACTTAAACTTGAGGTCAAGATTTGGTGCCTGTAATGCAGATACTTTGCCAGCTTAGTACCCTTTTAAGTCATTGGGAAGAAATGTGTACCTCTAGCTCATAATCCATCTGACTTATTTCACATTTTTGGGATGGGATGGCAAGAACTGCACCACAGACTACACTGGCCATATTGTCTAGACTTCCGCTGACTGTAAAAGGAGCCTCAGGCAACTGACTTACATGTAAATGTTTACATTTGGTCAAATAAATCCCATTCCCGGTTTCTAGTAGTTCTAAATAGAGGAACACTACCATGACCCTGGCAGCTGCAGGCTGCCACTGTTTTCAAGCTGCATTAATACTTACATTGCAAACATCCATTTGCTAACCTCAAGTAACAGTGCCTCATCCCAGAAAAGAAACAAAATCCAAACATTTCCATAGCAATTCTAAAGTCTTTGACTCTAATGCTGAAATTAATTTAAACTCAGCTGTGAACAGACAGGAAGAAAAAGAACCAAACACACACACACTGGCTTCCTGAGCTAGTTCTTGGACTGGGTATACAGATTTGAAGCCACTGTTATAAAGGGGGGGTGATGCGATCATTGCTGAGGAAGAGATGAGAATAAGGCAATTCTTTTTGGCAGTTGTAAACAACAAAAGATGGTACTAGCTGTTCTTGCCCCTCTTTACATACATTTATGTTCCAATGCAGACACCACAGTAGTGACATTTGAAAGAAGAGAAGTTTGAGTTCACAACACTCCTCTGCCTTGCATTAACATCTTGGATTTTGCTGTCTCTCTCCTACTTTTCTACAATGACAGTAACTTTAGAAGAAAACCTCAGAAGCCTTTAAAACCACTTCCTACTATAAACTGCAATTTGCAAAGGAAAATAAATTGCAGAGACTCAATCCTGCCAGCCACTTCCCTCTTGCTGCCAGTGCCAATTGTCACTTTATTGTTGTAGCTGCAGCAGAGAAGAAAAATAAAAAATCTTGGGTTTGCTTCACGTTAGTTATATTTAGCAGCTGGAAACTAGAAATGCATATGGCACCATATGTTCACCCTGCTGGAGCTAACTAAAAGATTTACAACCTACTACTGCAGTATGTTGCCTAAACGATACCAATATGAAATCAGAGAAATACCAAGAATACAGTGTAAGGGTATCATCTAGTGACTAATTTAAGCAACTGCGACAGCACCACCACTGCAAAACTGCATTCAGGCCACACTGGATTTTGTCTGATGTGTGGCAAAGGGGAAGCAAGACAGCAAGTTTCTTTCATATATTGAATCTCTAACAGGAAGTGGTAGACTTCAGAATTAAAAGCAGACACCACTGACAACCTGCACTCTATTAAATCTCATTAAACAGTCAAAAGTTTAAAATACAGGATTATTTTAATTAAATCTGTTATTTCTTGAGGATCATCAGGGCAAGGACTAGAAAGAGAAGGCTTCTTCGTCTTCAGTGGTGTTTATTTTGCAGATATTTCTAGAGAGTCAGGAATTAATACCTAAAAGACACTGTATTGCCAGAAGCCAAAGCAAGGTCTACCGGGTTGCAATCCCTGAAAAGCTACGATGAAGCCTTTCATAAATAATTTTTTTTTTTTTTAACTGAAGACAAAGAGAGCTCTCTGCTATACCCCTCTGAAAGGATGCAGGGTGACAACAACCTTTAAGAGGCACATGTCCTCTCCGGGGGAACTGTAGTGCTATGTCTCCCCAGCAGTGAAGGTATTCAGAGAGCCGTGTTAACCAACTATGTAGCTGCACAGGCAGCTGCTCCTTAAAGTATCAGTCTTCACCCCAGTGGCTCAGTGCATCATAAAGAAGAGGCCGCCTTTTCCTGAGCTGATCTCTCCGTCAACTGCTTGCACTACCCATTTTCACTCTTCTAGACCTCCTCCTATTTTCTTCCCTTCTTCTTCCTGCCCCTTCCTTCTCCCCTTCTGACCAAGCCTGTCATTACCCCTTCAAGTTTGGTTTCTGTGTTTGAAAAGGAAAAAAAAAAAAAAAGGCAGACTCTTACTAATTGTAATCCTTATGTAAAGCTTTTTGACAATTGGACTGACTGTTCCCTCTTTTGCATAGACTCACTCAATATATCTTGTTGAACAGGAATTTAGTGATAAAAATACACCTGTTACCTAAATAGCACAGATTTTTTTCTGAATATGGACATATCCCTCCCAAAGGCTCTCAACAATTAATGGGCTTGAGAACTCCAAAAAGCTTCTCAAAGCAACAATTCACCATTGTTTCTGTGAAATGCCATAAAATCTTTGCAAAAGAAATACTACTTGTAGGACCAGATTTGTCACGAGGGTCTGACTTGTGATGCCGACAACATACATCAACTGAAATGCCAACAACTGACCACTTGAACACGAGCCACAGTGGGTTTGTGTCACTGGAGTGGTACAAAAGCAGCCAAAGCACTAACCCTTACCCTGTGTATTATCATCTTTGTCCTCACTCAAGAGTCAGAGCAATCTGTAGTCAAAAGTAGCAGGAAATATTTGTCTTTAGTTCAACTCTGACCTTTTCAATCTGTTTAGGTTTCAGACAGAAATAGGAAATTAGTTCCACAATCAGGAAGTATAGCTGCTAAAGGCATTTGCCCCCAGGGGTTTGAGGTTCAATCTCAGACAAATTAAAGGCCTGCTAACTTTGACCTCAGTGAATTACAGGGATTATCTAGCAACAAATTTTCTCAAGATCTGATTTTCCCAGGTGTCCCAGCTCTCAGGGCAGCCTTCCCAAGCAAAGCATGCAAAGCCCAATTCCCTGACAGCAGTCATGTGAATCTGTAGCAGCACAGCTGTGATGAACTGTTGCGCAGTGAGTGGGCAGTGGGTAATTTCACTGATTTTAAAAGATTTCATGAATGGTGAAGCTTTACGAGCTAATTATAAGCACTGGGGAGGAAAGGGATTCTCACCTCTTTAAAGTGTTACATGAAACAATACTGTCAGGTATCCAGAGTCTACTCCCATGTGTTGCTGGTACTGCTGTGTTCAAGCTCCGACTCTTCCCATTATCCCTCCACAACAAGGTACTTATTAAAAGCCTCTTTCAGATTTTGTAAAGGAAAGCTTAGGAAAATATCAAGTATAACTTTAAACTGGAGCTGAGGGAGTGGAATGGAAGACGGGAAGAATCATTCACATTGCTTTCAACGGAAAGTACAATTTCCTACCCAAACAGCATGTGCTCTCCCCATCCAGCTCACTGCCTTTTGGAGGCTGTGCAGGAATTTGTCTAGATTTAGCTAGCCAAAGCCCTGACATCACTGCAATCACAGGATGCTATGGACAAAACAAAGCAAGAGGGTCAGGAACCACTGGTACCAATGGCAGCACAATGAAATATCCCTTAAAAGTGGGGATATGTAGCGATAATGGAAATCGTACATGTCTGTTGGGTCAAGTTTACCTCCAGCTAAAGAAGTCACAAAATGAAGAGGTATCAGTCAAGTCTAACAAGAATTAATTCTTTGAGGATCTTCCCTGTTGAATGGAAGAAGTCTCTTCAGAAAGGGAAAAAAAACATCTTTGAGCTAGCAAACGTCAGTCTGAATAACTGATATTTTAGTAAATGCATAAGCCACTTCAAACAGGGCAACTTTCTGTTCAGCCCTATTTTTGAATAGGGCTGTGGGGATGCTGCTTCTTTAGTATTGAGCACACCCCCATCACAGATATGTGGTTTTATACTGGAACTCACCTCTAATACAGGTAGAGGAATAATGTCTGTTGCACATGTTACGCCAGGGATAATCTATAAATACAGACAAATTATAAGAATATAAATGATTTAGCATAAAACATGGGCCTGTTTGGGTATTGAAGTGAATCTCCATTACCCGTTTCCTTTGTGAAACTAGCTAGCTAAAATTGTACATTCAAGTTTTGCCAAAAAGAAATATGGAAGATGTTTCTCTCATTCATCTCATTTAAAAAGAAGACAACATATTAGAACAGTGTCAGATCAGAGAAATGAAAATAACCTATTTTCTCTAACTGTAGAGTCTTGCCTGAAGTTATTTTACTTCTGCAAACTTACTCATAAATCTTAACTCTACCGATAGTGTTTGTGTTGGAAATAACTGCATGATTTTGCTGGTTAAATATATTCTGCATTCATTATAAACTCATATGATAAGCAATAAATTAATATCTCATTATGAAAACTGAAGAGATTTAATAATCCATTCCATTATAGTAGCTGTTCCTGTTTTATAAATGCTTTTATTTGTTGACAAAAAATAGGTCTCATGGAAAATGCCACAAAGGTTAAGACTTGACAAAATAAAACGGGCATAAAGCACAGATATGGAATTAAAGTACATCTATGACAAGGTAAGGCATAGAAGTTAAAAGCTGTATTAAGGGAGAAAAAACAGACTCCCTCTAGCTATTAATTAAAGTACCAGCTGTTATCTTACCCCAATCCAGTCAAGCAGCGATGTATAAGGCAAAAGTTTATCCAGGTTGTGAGTTTCTGGACACATTCTGCAGTACAGGGAGGCTGAATGCAACGTAAAAAGATTTATAAGGGCAAGATTGTATAACCTATCAGTTACCAAGAGTAGGCTTCACAGTCAGTTCCTTATCTAATGCTTTTTTAGGGACAAATCCTGCTGCTGTCTCTGAAACAGCTTCCTCCATGGTGGAACTGGTCCCATTCTGTGCACAAAAGGAGGAAGAGAAGTCCAGATGGCTGCAGGGCCGGGTCAGCTGCTTGGCTACAGCTCAGCACTGCAGGGGTCCTTTGTACAAAGGCTCAGGGCACAGGACATGCCCTGGCTAGGCTGAGGAATCAGCTATTAGAGGAGAATAACACGATATGCCAAATCCTTATGAAAAAATGGTTTGCGCTAGGCTAGAGGAGATTCGTTCCTCTGCTCTAATCTCATTTATTTACATCCCAGATATCCAAGACAGGAGCCAGATGGAGAATTTGCTCTCCAGTGACCTAAAATAATGATAAATTTGTCCCACTAGACAGAAGAATGCATTTGAAAAGTTTTAATGTCAATCTAATTTTGACAGATCTATGTATCTTCTAAACTACTTATATTGTCTCTAATACCAAAATGCAGGTCAGTTAACATAAATCATAATGAAAAAGTCTGGAAAGAAGAGAGTCAGTTTTTGACATTGTGGCTTCTCCTTAAGTTACAACTAGGGTATGCAGGAAAAGAAATACCTACCGATGATAAATTCTTGAATGGGGTCAAAAGAATGACATGTTGACAGGTTCTCAGAAATCCACCAAATAATCTGTCAGAATAAGAATAGAGGAGTTTGTCACATCTCTCTGTTTAAGTACGTGTTATAAGAGACTACAGAAACTTTATTTTCGGTAGTAACACTTTGCATGAAGTAGTGATATAGAGATGGACGTTTTCAGGACAGCCTTGACCAATAAAGCAGTTTCGGCAGCCCAGCTGATGAGCCTCTTAGCATTGCCAAAAGGTCCATGTGAATCAGGAATTTTTTTCTTTTTTGGCTGATATCATTCATGTCCTGACCTTTCTTGTATAAGATATCAGTCACTGAAAAATCTTAGAGGAGGTTCTTTTCCAACCTGCATTTCCAAGTCTTCTGTGTGTTGGAAGTACAACAGAGCACAATGTAGAGCTGCCAATCTCTCGCTGTCTCGTTTGCTGTTCTGTAGGAACTGTAGTAAGGCACTGTCACTGATGCTCACAGCATACATACTTCCTACATGGCAATCCAAGACTGTTGACGTGAGTGGGGATCGTATAGAGCAGTTCTGCAACACGTCAATTCTTGCATCCTCACCTGAAGGACATTGGTTTGAGAATAAAAAGGACTAAGAACATAAAATTGGCTGCTACCAGTATTTCTCTTAAGACTACCAGGCCCCAGCAGTAAGAAACAGTCTGCCTCTTGTATTAGTTGCCCTGGTATGCTGAAGAGGGGGATGAATGGTGCTGGCTGAGTAAAGCAAGTAAATGAGGAGAACAGTCCATACTCAGTTCTCTCCTTCCCTACTGCTAAAGCAGAGAAGGTATACAGATTTGAGGCTCACAATGCTGTCATAGGACAAATTGGGATGGAACAGAGAAGGGCACAAGGCTAGTAATAGAGGTTCAACACTAGAATTAGCACCGAAGCATATTGTTACAGTTCAGAACTGCTCACATGCAGAATCATGATACAGACTTGTATGGGTGGATCTCTTGCCATCAATCCCAATGGTCAGAATAGCAAGGTCCTGCTCTATGATTACTGATTGAAGCATCAGACCAAAACCACCTTATTTATGCTAGCACTAAGGTTCACCACCACAGTACTATGCAGTATGATTCCAGACTCTGTGCATCAGAGAAATCAGGCCCAGCACACAAGTGACGCTTTCCACTCATTTCTAGAGGAACAGTGTTTCATTATATGTATACACAACAGGTATTAGCTTCCTGTGATGCTGCCCCTGCACCAGTTCCCACTACTTACCTCTCCTTCACTCAATCAGAAGAACAGATTTCTGTTTTCCAACGAAGGTCCCCCACTTCCAAAAATAACCCACTTCCCATAAAGACATGTTTGTTGGAAATGAAATAACGTGCCTCTCAGATGAGACTCTAAATCAAATTGCATCAGCCTGATCAGGTGAAGGAAACACAGATTTCCTTTCCCCACACCCTCCAAACACACACATTTAGAGCAACTCAATTGGAGGAAGGAAATGTAAAATCAAATTTACATCTCCATGTGAAATTTGAGAACAGTGGAGGACAGAGAAGCATGTGCAAAGATGGGGGAAGGGAAACTATGAAACCAAGGCAAAGAATTGCAAATTCAGTGAAAGGTCTTCTTCCATTTCATAACAAGCTAGAAATACACAATAGACGAAATATGAAATGTCACTTCAGATTCTGTTTCCAAATGGAAAGTGGCAAAAATGCCATTCTTATTTTTTCAGTCTCTTTCCTTCTTCTTCAGAACACTGTGCAATAAAGCAAACGTTGAGAAATACAACTTTTATGTAAAGAGATTTGAACAAGCTTCCACTACAACAATAAAATTACTTCAAGCAGCAGTCTTACTATACCTGTCAGAAATAAACTATAGCACAGCAGGTCAGGATGCTGAATATTCAGGAGGTGCAGGAACTGGCCAGGCAAATAAGCAGCCACATAATAGTCTATTTAAAGAAATAAGAGTGGTCAATTTAGCACTTGTTCACTTATTTGCTTTAAGAGGCTGTTTCAGATGATTCTCATCTTGGCCCACTTCTCTCTGATGGAATTGATTATATCTAGGAAATATAAAAGGAGTTAATTAGAAGCTGCTGTTATATTAACATAGGAAAGACTAGCAATACATTTGGGTTTCCAGGAGGGAGGATTCAAGAGGCTTGAGACAGTCAAGAATTCAGCAGCTGATCTCCAGAGCAGATTCTGAGGCAATTTCAGAGGAAGTTGCTTACTAATAGTGAAGTATTGCAGCATGAAATGGCAAACATATAAGTTAAGCAAAAAGAAAAAAAAAAAAAGCCAAAATAACACAACTACTCAAAGTCAAGAAAAAAAAAATTCCCTTCCTTCTAGAGAATAGTTACCCATTTGTCTCCATACTGGGGACAGAGAATGGCAGTCACACAGGGAAGTAACACAAGTAACCTACCAAGATTCATAAAAGCCACTTCCTTCAATTGATGAGATTCTGTTCTTTCCAGAGAAACTGTAAAAGTTTTGTTGTAACCTGGGGAAAAATAATAATACTTTTAAAAAACCCAAACAATAAACACCATCTGTTACAAGCCAAGTATGACTTTATAGCTAGAAACGTCAGCAGTGCCAATACACCCAAACAGGGATATTGTAGACTGTTTTATGGGCTTGTCTGCACAGACAGATTTACTTCATCCGAAACAGAGCTGCTGCATACTTATTAGACCTGCACCCACACAATGCAGTTCTTTAGTATGCAGAAACTGGCCATGCACTGCACAGCCTATGTTCATGTTTAAAGATGCATTCCATCCCAGAACAAGCTTGTGTAAAAATACACACACACCGCCCCCCCAAAAAAAAACCCAAACACAAATCCTTTAGTTACCTCTCCTTCTCATTTTGGTGATCTTTCAACTGCTTTAAAGAATTTCCATTTTGTTTATCTGCATGCCCTATTGCTGTAATTTAGTTCAGCTCTGTTTAAACATAGACTAATTTCAGACCTGCTGTGTCTGCATGGGCTTTGCATCAGTACAGCTGTTATTTTATTCTAGACTTGCACCATACTTCTTCTGGCATCCAGTAAGAATCACACAGAGCCCTCAAACTTCCTGAATCTCTGAGAAAAACTGAAGATTAAAATAACTAAGGAGACAATGACTGGCCTCCAAATGTCCATGCTGCAATATCTTAAAGGCTGGAATGGTGTCATGATCAGGATGCTACTTAAAACTGCATGAAAACTAAAGATAAGACAATAGATCCACAGTCTACAGGACCACCAAGGAAAAAAGTAGATAATGAGCCATGCTTCAGCCCCTCATCCAGGACTTTGATTGCTGACCCTAGCAGAGAGATACACTTTATCTATACTGCAAAAAAAGAAAAATGAGACCTCCAAGACCAACAGCAACACTACAGATGAAGGGGTATCTAAACCAAATAGTTTTTCACACAAGATACCGACTGAAGTTTACTTGCAATGAGTCAGTTTACTCAGGATCACCACCCTGATAACTGCCAACGCAAACACATACAACAGAATACAACTGCAGCATCGTTACTTTTGTGTTTATGCTACATCAAGTGACTGCATTAACAGGGGGTGGGAAGCTTCCTTCTGAGTCTACAGATGCTGCAGCACAGACTGAACTCCTTATGTGTCTTGAAAATATGGCTCATGGACCTGATACACTGATGCTTCTGTGAGTCACCTCAGGACCAGTCTTAAAATTCTCTCCTACAACTGACGAATCTTACATGAATCCACAAACAGCTCTGCACCAAACAACTCCACTCCACGAAGGCCATTTCAGATGCAGCTGGTCAATGTCACCATATTTATCCTCAGTTTCTTCAGTATACAGATAGGGATGTACTAGGGCCATGGCTGGCTCCAAGCAATGCAACTACCCTTCAGCTAGCTACACATCAAGAACATCTGGGGAAATCAGTCCTTCACAGCAGTACAATGCAGAGTGGTGCCACACCCAGAATGGACTTTTCCAATTTGTTAATGCCTTCAAGAACACAAAAATGCAGTTCATTCAATCCCACAATGTTCCAGCAGCAAAGCAATATGTTAGTGCAGCTCCGACATACAAAACATTTCCTGACATAAGAAAGTGAACACTTAAAAGTAAAACAGACGTATGTTGTCCACTTGAACATGGTTACTCCATATTATGCACCTTCTCAGTTGAAAAATAATTTGCTTCTCTCCTCTGTGATTCAAACGAGAAAGATCTTACTAATGACAGGTTTTATTCTGATTCAAATAAAACAACATTCTTCTTTTTTTTCTTGAAAAAAGTCCTAAAATTAAGAGCTAGAGCACCACTTACATAGCAACTATTCTTACAGTCAGTGGGTGTTGCACCTCCTGCTGTGAAAATGACATGTTGAACAGGAACTCTAAACAGACACGCAAGCAAAGAGCTGTTGGCTCTATTTCCCATACAAATGCCTTATGGCATAAGTACAACGCACCTGCAAGCTCCCACAGATTTCACTAATGTTTATGCTCAGCATGCCAGAAAATCTGGCTAGAAATAACGGACCAAATTAATAGCCACTCATGAGGCCACTGGTTTGAAGCTACTTGTTCAGCATCAGGCAGGAAGTCTACACCAGCCACAGTAGTTTATTGTCTGCAGACTTTGGTAGCTATTTGTTTTGCAAGGCATTCTGTGACTGTTTCAAGCAAAGTGACATTCTCCAAAATAAAGCATAACTGAACAGGTTAATCTTACCTTTATGTAAAAAATATATGGAGTACATTATTTCATCAGGAATATCAGAGGCTAGACTACAACACACACACAAGCCTCCTGAAAGACAAGAAAGGAAAAGAAAACTGACTTGTCCACCTGAATACCCAGATATCTTTACACCCCACAAAACTAAAGTAACACTGTTTCAAATTAGAAACCAAAAATAATCTCTCAAAAAAGGTAAAGATTACTGAAATATATATCATATCTCTCTAACCATCGTTTACCTAGCGAAACACAAAGTAAGAGAGAACAGAGGAGGCAATATGGTTCAATGGAAACCTGGGTTCTGTCATGGCCAGTTCTTCTCTTTAGAAGTACATTTTTAGCCATTCCCAGTAGAAATCATGCTTGCAGACAGAAAACTGATCAAGCCTTTCTCTCCACAGATGGCCTCAACCTCTAGATATTTTCTGTTCAGGGACTGCCAAATACGCACAGAACAACACAGTAAAACACAGTTTGTTTCCTAAGTAATTTCATATTGGCAGCAGCATGATACACTACTAGAGCTTTCTCACACTAGAAATGATAGCCACTTCTCTCCTTTCCAGCCCAAAGAGCTGTTAATTCCTTTTTTAGGAGAAAAGTCAGCCCTTGGCACAAGCTTATTTCAGCTAAGGTACTCTCTGCAGGAATGCTTTGCCCTCCCAGCCTAATTCTAAATCGGACCAATACTGTTTTGACTCCACTGGATGGTAGCCCTCCCTCCATCTCTTATAAAAACCTTAATCCACTTACTCCAATGCTTTGGCAAGCATTGGCATTCATGTTAGAAACAGCTTCCAAACCACATTATCCCAATACAGTTGGGAAAGTTGAGTCACAACTCTGACCATTCACCTTTTACCTTTATTGAAAGTTTACCATTTGCAAAAGAGTAAAAAAAAAAAAAAAGGTAATACTAATACAGATGCTATTCTGTAAAAAAATAAAGGTTTATGTATACAAGGTATACAGAAAAATTACACAGTACACAGTATGGAAAAAGCACATGTACAAAAAAAGCACAGCTACCAAGGTATTTTACTTGGTCTGAAGTATGGGGCATTTAACCACAAGGCTGTACCACAGCTGTGATACAGATAGGGCTGAGGCACTTCACACTTCTGGGGAAGGTATATACTTTCTTTTGACATGTTATTTTTTTTCTGCTTATTCTTAGCTGATTGAATATTGTTTGGTACAGTTTTGCTTGGATATCTGAGTCATTTAGACAACAGATAGGGCATTCTGCCAGAGCACTTGGCATCTTTCAGAGCATGCATAATTTTTAAAGTAGCAGCATCAGAACTCATGAGGAAGACTGGAAAAGCTCCAGCAACCCACAATGCCATTTCATTATCAACAGCTCCCTTCCAACACTGCAAATTTCTTTCTTGTATGCTGGAGGTTAGTGTATACAATGTTCTGTAAACTGCGTAACTTGCAAGCGAGTCTGTTCAGATTGAAGTGTCAGTGGGTAATATATGCAAGCTGATCACAAAAACAGTGGTGATGGGGGACTATGAATAAGACGTACATCTTTCAACTCTAGGATACTGGTCCAAATGTCTACAAACTGAACTACGAACAACAGAAAATATCAAAGTGTGCTTCATCAATACAGACAGAAACACGACAGTCTCAGATCAGCAAGTGTCCAAGCAGTGTTACATCTGATACCATCTTGGCAATCCCAGTAGAGCAGCCAGCGACTGAGAACATAAGACAAACTCCTATCCTACCCTTAGCAGTGCTCTCTGCACATTCATAGGATCATTATGGTTGGAAGAGACCTCAAAGATCATCAAGTCCAACCGTATACCTGATGCCACCATGCCCGCTAAACCATGTCCTCAAGCCCCACATCTAAACGTTTTTTGAACACCTCCAGGGATGGTGAGTCCACCCCCTCCCTGGGGAGCCTGTTCCAATGCTTAACAACTCCAACAGTGAAGAAGTTTTTTCTAATGTCGAGTCTGAACCTCCCCTGGTGCAACTTGAGACCATTTCCTCTTGTCCTAAACCGTTTCCTCTTGTTCAAGCCGGGTTGTGCTGATGCTGGGAAAGCTTGTTATCCTATTGCACCTATATGGTAAGTGCTTCATGCGGAAGCAGAATCAGGTCCATACACTATCCATTTCAAAGTCATCTGCAAACAGTAAGAGCTGTAGCTAAATGCCACAAGGTGAGAAGACTCACATGAAGACATCTTTGGATGGATTCTTATTTTTTCAGAAATAAAAGGGAAAAAAGATCTCAATCACAACAAAGTAAAAAAAAGGAAGCATTTAAAAATTAGTTCTACTCATCCAGGGTAACAGCGAGTTACTACATGCAACAGAATTAGGAAAACAACAGTTATAACTCTGCCACTTGATAAATAAACATCATACCACTGAAATTTTAAGTCACCTGTGAAGACATGAAGTTTTCCCTAGAAAATTTTGACTTCAGATTCCTCATTTCTGTTCATGCAGAAGCGTAAGACATAAGGCTGTACCAACATACCAACATGGCATCCAAGTGTCACAATTCAAATACAACATCGCACCAGGCCATTTTGTCTAGTCATGCTGGCTTAGGAGTGACTTGCCTCACCTAAACTTCAGCCAACCAAACATCTCTCATTTAGACTCCTATATAGCAAATGAAGAAATACAGATAGAAGCAATCATCCCCTGGAGATGCCTGTTTCTCTCTAGAAATATAGTCCAGATCTTTAACTTTTAGGCAGGTAAAGTTAGGTGACAGTAATCCAGGGTTTACATCATCTTACTGCCTGTGGTTTTTTTAATACTGAGCAAATTTAACTGAAAAGTACTTCTAAAGCACTAAAAGAAAAGGTAACAGCCCAGTGTTGTTTAAATAACCACTGAATTCTGGACATGCAAAGTTAATTCTGAGACTAGAACTGCTTGATCTCAGCTAATCTAGAACTACAAAGGGGTTTTTATCTGGAGACATTTTGTCTGTGCTGAGTATAAGGAATAGGGCTACTTTTCTTCTACTGCGGAAGTTTGAGAAAGGAAGAATGATTTCATTCAGAGTCCAGACTGGCAGTAGCCAATAGCAGTTTTATTAATAGAATATTCCATTTTGAAGTTACGTCAGTTATTCTTTGCCAGAGATGTCCGAATCGTACAAATCGGGTTATCAGCATTAACATCTGAAGCATGCTAGCAGTTCCACAGAAGGCATAGTCTGCACCCCAAAGAGCTTGCAGTCCAGTTTTATAAATCACCACAAACAAGAGGCACAAAAGGGAACTTGAGTGTGATTACCCATAGTGTTCTCCGACTACTAGATATGGTCCCAGCGCCAAAATCATTTGCTCCAAACTGTTACTCAAAATAGGTTGTGCAAAGTAATCCTCGGTTTCAAACAACATTCAATGAAAAGCCACATACACTTACTAAATGAGATTATTTTAATTGTCAAATTATGTGCTTTACATTAAGCACAATGAAGAGCGCATGTGAAAGTTTCCACACAGAATTTAAATACTGTGTTGCCAGATCGAGAAGAACATTTTACTTCAGGGGAATCAAACAACAGTCTTGTTGGAGGAAGACTGAATTTCATCCTAAACTAAAAGGAGGTGCTTCAATCTGAACAAACCCTAGAGAAGTATAGGTTTAAAAGGAAACACATATATACAAATAAATAACATTTTCCATTATTGGACAGGCCATTTGTATAAGAAATAGTCTGTCTGGCTAACAGAGAAAAAGTAGCCTAATCTACATTTGGTAGATTAAAACTTGGCTTTCTCTTATTTCTAATTCCTTCCCTTTAATCTTTGTAAGCATGCTGTCTGTCTTGGTAAGGAAAAAAAAAAATCCTTGTAAGGAAACTATTTCACTTGATTTGCATTAATGGTCATTTCAACACAACTGGCAAATACCTCAGCAATTCGCTCATGTACATACAGCACACCTCAAGAAGTGAGATGTAAAGCCACTTCTGCAACACATCATATCTCAATACAACTCTGTAGACTATTCAATGGTTAGTCAGACACTACCTCTGCTTCGCGGTATGGTCTAATTTAGAAGCTGAAAATGCAGGCATCTGTGATGAACAGATGCCTTTTCAGACCAGTTTTTAATCAAAAAAAGCTCATGGCATGCATTAGGTTGCAGGGAGACTCCTAAATCCTAAAGATTTAGGGAACATTTTAGGTTTAAGTTTAAGGAATCATATATATACACTAAACCCTTAAGTATCACATCCTGAGTTTGGGTATCACATACTTGGACCTTCTAACTATCACAAACTAACAGCAAAATGAAGCTCTTAGAATCTGTATTGCACGTGTTCCATTTATGCATGTCCACTCTGCAACACAATTATATACTACGTCAGATACCCATACAACAGACCTAGCCAAAACCTTCCTTTGAATTTACTTTCTAAAACATTTTCAGCCAGCTTTAACATTAAATTGCTCTAATGTAATACACAATCATGCTTTGGTACCTCCTGCATTCTGAAACTAGCAGAAAATGCTACAGTGTGCTTAGACTGGCATATTTCACCATATGAGTGCATGATACCAGTTCTTTGAAGTTGGGCTACCAGAAAATTTCTGTGTGACTGTTTTATTGTTGGTGTTGATAGATAAAACCCTAGGTAACCTTCAGCTCAACTTGGAATGCAGCTTTCAGAGGATAAAAAAAACTTAGTAAGAAAAATAGCACACAGCTGCCTTCTCCCTCTCCTCACAGTTACTTGCCTAGTATACTCTAAAGGAATAAAAATCTCACACTCATACAAAAAAAACCACCCAAAAATACAAATATATATATAATGTCTTACAAAGAAATTTAGTAATCAATTATAATTACACTGCATGATAATTACTAGTGGAGATAATTTTGACAATACTTGTATTTAATCATTACCTGCTTTACTTGTAAAGACCTGAAGATTCAAAGATTTAGATGTAACATCTTGGTCTTGACAGTAATCATATCCAAAATTCACAAGTCTATGAGCAAATAAAGATCACTAAATAAATCACTTCTTCATCCACAGAGATTCATCACAACACAAAGATCACAAGAACAGTCACTATGTAATCAAAACATACTAATTAAATTCTAATCAAATGTTCCCTAATGCAAGTTAAATTAGGCTTTAACCAATCCGCTCAATGCTGTTAGTAATGAGAATCTGAAGACTGCACATTGTTACCAGAATCCAACAGTTTTTATTACACCTGCAAACTTCACTGACTGCAGCATTATCCAACCATTCCTGCACGTTCAAGTGAAAAGAAGTTCTGATGAAGCACTGGAAATCCAAGCACCCATCAATACCTGAGAACTCAAAGGCTTTGCAGTCTAACTCTACCATTCTTATGTCTGTAAAGCTACATTTTAATCTGCAATTAGGCACACTAATTTCAGCGGAAAAACTTGAAAAGGAAAGCACAAAATTACACTCACATGGAACTTGTTACACCATGACATTCTTTTTCAGTCTCATGCTGCCTGTGCTTTAATGGTTTTACATATCTTTAAAAGCTACAAGTCCTATTTTTGCTGTGCAGAATATGCAACAGAAGATTGTGGTCAGTCTGCTTTGGCTTTTTTGTTGTTGGGTGTTTTTTTTTTTGCTTGGTTGGGGTTTTTTTGCCAGAAAGGATTCTGATCCTGTAGGTATTTTCTCCTAGGTCTTCTGCAATAATTTTGAAAATAAAAAAAAAATAAAATTATAGCATTGAAGCTCTTGTAAGAGCTGGATTTCTTCCGTACTAACTGCAAGAAATACACTGCCCTTTAGGGCAACCTGCATGTGCAGTAGCACCACACTGCACCTTCTGCATAGCACTGAGAGATTCTGAGAGCCACAGTTTGGGCAGGTTGGAACTCAACTACCTTCAGTTATTGACACCTGATCTAGCAGCTTTGGCCTCCCTTTCTGTTCAACGAAGAGAAACAGGCCCTTTTAGAATGTAAATTCAACTGATTGCAGACAGAGGAGGATGAGATGAATTATGACTGAGAGTCAGACCATCCTGACTAGTTTTTCCTCAATTAAAAGGGAGCCTTAAGGAGCCAGGCTCAGATGCAGCCATGTGCATGGTAGATGCGGACGGACAAATCTTAGCCTTTGAAAGTGCAGGCTGCCTGGAAATAGCATGCTGGAGGAGAAAACAGTACAGGTAGTGTCTCATACGCTATAAAAGGAGCTACTGATCTGGTTAACTGCCCAGTAAAACATGTAACAGCAATTAAAAATGGAGAGCTTCCCTGGACAAGAATTTTGACATAATTACTGCAATATGCCCAAGATTAAAACAAATTAATTTAAATAGGTACAGAATACTCAGAGGGTTTAACCTATAGCTAGCTCTTCAGACAAATAATTTTAAAAAATGGCACCAAAAAGCAGTCAAGGATTACATTAAATTTCACAGTTGACACTGATGAAAATGAGAGGAACTGGAGATTCGGACACCATGTTCATACTATTCTTATGTTCCAGTACCATGTAGGCAATTGCAAAGAAAGATACTGTGGTTGGGACAAACTTTAAGTTTGTAAGACACTACCCTATATATTAAAAGGAAAGCAAAACAAAGCATTAATAAAAAACTTACTTTAACTGTGTGTCATTTACAGAAATATCCAGGTGTGATTCCAGCTGTTAACCAAAAACAAAACCAAACCTGCTATTTAGTGAGGTCAGTATACTGTGATTAGCATTTCAGACCAGCAAAATGTGTCGAACTCACATTTCATCAGATTCAACATTTTTAACTTTATCCTCCTCTAATCCTTACAGTCACCCCAAAAAACATAAAACAGATTCTTAAAAAGAAAGAAAATAAACTGTGATATATTTAACCTCCTGCATTAGAACAAATTTCAGCCAAAAGTCTAGTAACAATTACATGTTCAACAGTTGTAACTTTTATGTTCTGTTCTCTGTATTTTGGCCACAACAGGTTTTCCTGTCGTGTTTAAATCTGACATAAAATTAGTACATGGCTTCTTTGTCTAGTGCATTTGATAAGCCCTGCTTTTCAATATTTGAATATAAGATCAGTATAATGTCATGAATGTCACTTACTTCTAAGTCAATATCTGTGCAATTCCACTGAAGTTACCTTACCATGGTGCAATCTGAATCTGAATATATTCTTGAAAAGAATAAAACCATTCTGGTTTCAGTTGAGATAGAGTTAATTTTCTTCCTAGTAGCTGGTATGGTGCTGTGGTTTTGGATTTAGTATATACTATATTTTCTATATATACACACACACTATATAAAACAATAATGCAAAAAAAAAAAAAAGGAAAAACAAAACCCGGTTTTCCTCTGCAAGAGTTCCAATAACAAAAGACACTGAAACAGATTTCTGTATGGGTGCTTGGAACACATCATTACATCCCACTTAAAACCATTGTATAATAAAATACTTATGACTTACTATTGAGTTAAAATTTTCATCAGGATAAAACTGGACACATTTTAAAGTACTCTTTGATTCCTGGAATTAAGAAGATGTGTTTTGTAACTGATAAAATAGAAAGCATATTATATAGACTGAAAAGTGACCGGATACTCCACACCATTCTGCACACTCAACCCACTTTGCTAACAGACGTGCAGAAGTTAGGGGACAAAAGACAACTTTAAAAACCACACATAACCCCCCACAATAGCACTATGACATGCTTCCTTCCTGTCCCAGATCATTATCTGCCAATCATCTATAATTGCGTGGGCCCTCACTTGAAGCACCACATGACTTGTCTCACACACACATATACATTCTTTCCATAACTACCTATATGGCAAAAGGAACTGTATCTTATTTTGGTCAGTTCAAAAAGGGTATCTCAGAAACAAAACCAGGAATACATTTCTCCATCACAGTTCACTTCCTGTCATTTCCCAACATTCATATTTTTTTGGCAGCTAAGAAAACTTATGAAAAATCAATTTACATTTACATAGAATACATCAAGTGCAAATAGTCCCTCAGACAAAACAAAACAAAAAAAAACAAATGCAAAGAGTTTCAGCATTTCTAGCCAAGAACTTGCCCTCATTTGGTCACTCAGTAAGTTTGTGTACAACATACTTTCTAGATGTGAATTCTCTGGAACAGAGGCATCATACTCACAACGTTTTTTGGTAGATTTAGATCCTTTTGAATAAAAGACCTTTTTAAGGCAAAGAAAACATAACAAATCCACCCTTTTTTATAGAAAGCACTAAGACCACCAGTCTTCTTGCAATTTAATATGCACAAATAGCAGTTAAGGCAAGCTTAGCTTTTGCTTTACTTTATCTGAAGCAGGAACAAGACAAGACTACCATAATGAAAAGCAAACTCACAGTATTACCCCACACATTCAAAACTTTACTGCACTCAGACAGGCAGGAACAAAACTACTAGATTGACTTCCATCTCACCTTTGGAACAATGTAGAAGAGCCTTTGTTCTATCATATCCCATTGTGCCCAAATGAGATCATCTGCAACTCTGGCTCTTGGAAGCTGACCTGAGTTTTGAATCGCCTAAAGGGAAAGAAAGAATATTAGTAGTCGTCAAGTAAGGTTCTACAACAATTATGCACAGTCTGTGCTTTAAAGAAAAAAGCAATGACAGAAGAGGTGCAAATACTAAGGTGCTAGGAGGGAATACGCCACTTGTTAGCTGCGCAAAGTCCACCTTAGTTGTGTGCAAGGTGCTCAGTTTAAAAACAGCAGAAGCAGAGTTTTCAGGGTAGACCTACTACCAAATATTTGAGATTTCCTTGCTGCTAGAAATTAACCACTTAAGCTGCTGAAAGTGAACAAAGCAAAACAGACAGCACTCTTCACCACAGAGAAGGGTAGAGGAGTGAAATACCAGTCAGTTCAGAACCAGCTACATTAACCATTGAAGGAAGATGTGTTAGCTCTGAAAGGAATTTCTATCCAAAGTCTCAGCCGCATGACGGAGAGTACTGGCAGCAGGGAAAGGGCTAGAATTGTGGAAAAGTGTTGGGATTGGATAAATGCACTCTTGAAAGATGTAGGGAGATTTCATGTCAACCAAAACAAATCTGTTTGTTAGAAGGACATCAGATTGATCTGTTTTTTCTGATTTCACTCTTAATATTTACTCTACTACCATAGTCTGACATATAAAACCTGTCTGCTTTAAAAGCAATTATAAACTTTGAGAAAACCATGAAAGTCACAAAGTGGCTGAAAATCAGGACCTTAACCTTTTCCTTCTAAGCCTACATTCGTCTCCACAGAGCAAAACGTTGGTTTTCATGACACAATTCTTTACTATATTAGATACATGTTAATTATTAATAAGTCTTGTAAGCAAGACACTCACAATTTGGTGAAGACAAATTCACGTTAAACACAGCAAAGAGAGATGAGGGGAAAAAGAGATTGGAACATTCACAGTACTTGGAGTGTATCTAAGTTTTATGTCTTTTGTTTGCTTGTTTTTTAAATGAATCTCTTACTTGGACACACAGATTCCCAAAAAGCAAAGCCAGGAAAGTGACTCTGCAAAATGTTTTAAATGGTTTAAAAATGTATATACACTATGTTTACTCCCAACTTTCAGCAACAAACAAAAAACAATAAAATAAGCAACTTTCCTCATAGATTACATGGTATGCAGGTTTTTCAATCAGCTTTGTGGTTAGCTGCATAAGTTGCAATACTATGGATATTCTCTTTAATATACTTTGTGCTGCCCAAGTATAAAACTACAAACACAGTTCACTAAAATTACAGATGTTTAAATTTTCAATTAAGGAAAAAAACAAACCCAAACCCCAAGATTTTTCAAGTCTTACCACTTTGTGTTCTTCTTCTGCAACAACATGAATGTCAAATTTTTCAATATCTTGAAAATATATTAAAAAAATCATTACAAACACACATTTTTATATGCTTTTATACAGTTTATTAAACAATCTCCCCTCTTAGAATGCTATAAGAACACATTAGGGCCAGGAAAGTTCAACTCAGTGTAAGAGGCAATGTGTGATATACGAACACAGGTGCCTACGCAGAGATCTGGACCCTCTCCCCTTCCTGAGCCAAGGATAGCCTCAGCCACAGCACCTCGTGGAAGCAGTTCTCTGCCCACATCAGCACAGCACGGTCAGGAAGAGCGCTAACCGAAACATGCCAAAGCAAGCCAAGGAGCGCACTTATAAAGAAAAGAGCATGCAGAGCTGCATGCCTGTGCCTGAGACTACACCCTAGCCCTGCTTCACTTCCTAGCACGAATACCACCTCACAGTCCTTTCCCACACAAAATTCCTAAAAGCTATTGGTAATTTGCCTGTGCGAAGGGTGCAAGATTCACCCAGGAGAAGTTATAAATGTTTCTGATACAGTTCGCAGCACTATGTGAATGTATTAGGAGGTGAACTCTGCCCACCTAAGTCTAGCTACCTAAAGGTAGGTGCCTAGCTTAGTAGAGAAGATGGGCCTCTCCAAAAAGATAGGAAAAGCAATCTCATGCTGTTATAAGACTGAAAGGCAAGAGGGATAAAAAGCCTTTTCCAAGTGTCCATCTCTACCCACTCCCTCCCATCAGATTAGACTGAACATGCAAAGTTAGCTGAATCCAAGAAACTATTGTCCTATTCTTATCCCACTTGTCACGCATTAAATCACAATCCACCTCTCATAGTCAATTGATCTGCGCTGAATTTATATAGGCAGCTATAAAAGTCTATTTTAGTTTTTTTAGAAGTAAAGATAACTGATGAATACATGAACTAAGCAAATAATTGCAGTCAAAGCTGGCCATTGTGCTAACATTGAAAAAAAATCCCATTAAATAATACAGTTTTTAAAACACATCCGTAACACACAGAATAGCTCATCCCCTTTTTTTCCTGGTTTTTTTCCAATAAAAGTCTACCAAAAATATAATCTATAATGACCATCTTAAAGTAAAAGAACGATAATGTACTTTCAAAATATTAACTCACATTTATCATCTGAAACTAGCAAGAGGTGACTTTCTGTAGAAGTACTTCTGCCTTCAACTGGATAAAGAAACTGTACAGAAAGTTTCACAAAAGTAAGTAAATAACCAAAGTAGTTTAGAACACTTATCTAAAATGAGGATTTTTAGATGGATATTTATATATTTTTAAATTAAGACAGGCACACTAATGATATTTAATTAGTAAAAATAGCTATTCATACAGACTAATAGTCACCAATCACCATAATTGCAACCTTCAGAGGACTGAAGAGAAATAAAAAAGTAGCCTTCATGTCAGAAAAATATTCCACATCAAATATTTTACGAAGTTTCTCATTTTTTTCCTTCTATGAAGAAACATGGGCACACTATCACTGTAACAGTTGCAAGATAACATGACATATTTCTGCACTCAAACACTTTTTCTCTCTAGCATAGTGGATTAAAGAGTTTATATTTAATTAGTTGAATAATTTACCTGTACTCGAACACAGCTATCCACAGCCTTTAAGACTCTCACATTATTAATGGGATGAATTTCAATTAGCAAGGTTAAATACTTGGATACTGCAAGAAGAACATGTTTTAGACAACATTTTTTAAATACACAATTTAGCCTTCTAAACAGAAATTACATGGGGAAAAAAATAAAAGGGTACTATATTTCTAACAGTATTAAAACAATCCACTTGTAGTACCTGACTGTAATAGCCGACTTACTCTTTCTTCCTCTGTACACTGATGGAAGCTGACTGCTAAGGGAAAAAAAAAAAACAAACCACACCACACAACCACAGTGAGCATACACATTTGATATTAATCTTATTAAATATTCCTGCAGAGAGAGCATCACAATTTATTTCTTTTTTTTTTTTTTTTTTTTTTTTACCAAAAACATGTATGTTAAAGGAACAACAGAAGCTCTTCTAGATGCAGGAGATATATAAATGCAGGAGGAGGAAGTGAACAAAGGGTCAGTGTATATTAGATTTTTGTTTTAATAAACAGCAATATTGCTACACCTATGTCTTTATGTTGTTACCTACATTATTCGGTGATGGATTCACCGAAATGCATAGACTGCTGTGGGCAACATACAGGTCAAAATAGATTTAAGAAATTCTAGACCCAAACGTATCATCCTAAACTATAGGATCTTTACTATGACACAAAAAAGTTTATTGATAAAACACATATTTACCCAATAACGTCCTTTCATTGTTGATCGAACAACTGATTATGCGAAGATCCCTCTCAAACATATAGAGGTGCTACAGAGAAACACATTAATGCTAATAAATTTTTTTTTTAACTACATAAAGAAAACCATCTAATTACTCCTCCTTAGCAAAACACTGTTGACCAGTACACTGTTTTTATTTTTAAAGCAAATCATTTCACAGCCAGAAGAACCATATTTCAAGCCTCAATTGTATCACTTCTCCTTTTTCTCATTTGTTTGTTTCTTACTGGTTCTTTTGAGCTCTGTGTTGCCACTAGAGCAGCACAGCAGACCCTTATGTAAATATGAAATTTCATCCATTTCATACTGTTATGGGGACACCTGCAAAGGCCTGTTATCATGATTTCAGCCACTGAACTGCAGTACATTCCATTTTAGAATAACTTCTTACAAATGGTAGCACCAAACAGACTGAAGATGCACACATAACAAAGAAAATCTAAAACTTTTACTTCTTGGCACATGTGTTCAGTGTGAAGAGGAATGGAAAGGGCTTGAATTGGTTGTTTAGAAGTAAAGATTGCAGACATGATATTTTACTACTCCGAAGTCATTCAAATGTTCTGTAATGTTCTGCATCTTAATGCTACTAAGCATCATTTCAGTACCTTCTCTGCTCTCTCTTCTGTTTCAAACAAGCAGATACTCCTTAAGGACATAACATCCTGTGGTGCAAGGCATCAATATCTGGAACACTACAGCACTGTCTTCACCAGGCAGAAGCCTGGTATTGCTCTCACCTCATTTTGTTTAGTTTGAAGATCGTACAATCCAATGTGAGTATTTCTCTGGTTTCCCTATGGATGAAAACAAATTAGCATTGGCAATGTAAATACATACAAAATTAAAGTGTGTTTTTATTTTTTTCCTACTTCCCTCTCCTCTTCTCCCTGCCCCTTCACACACATACTCACAGACTTCCCTGTCCTATAAACAGGCAGTTAATTATCTAATTCCAAGAAAGCAAGGCAAGAAAGAGAACAAAGATTTTTTTTTTTCCCCTTTAAGAACTAACACATGGGACAAAGCTGAAATGTGGCCAATCCACAGCCCACAAGCCATTGCATAAGCCAAGTGCCTCTCTCTGACTCTGGTTCTGAACTGGCTTTAGTTATAGGCAGTAGGGCCAGGAAGAGAGATGTCTGTACAAGAATGAAAGGGGATGCTATGGCTCCTGAAAGATTCAAGGCCAGTATTCCAAAACTCACGAACTCAGTGGGTGATTGCTCCAAAAGGGAGCACAGAAACATCAAACATCACCAAACACAGCTTCCAGTGATCTGGCTACAAGCTGGAAAAAGGATTTCAGCTCTGCCTTAGGAAATGATTGTTTGAAGGCTAAATATATTTCACCAGCTCAGATGGCACCATTAGCCTGCTGCCTTTGAAAAGAAACATAATACATATCCTTTCTAGCTTATTGATAATAACACAGAATGATTTGGGGGCATTTCTAAGACTACACAAATCAAAACTTTTCTTCTTAGTAATTCTTACTATGCCTTAAGTTTTCAAAATATTAAAAAAAATGTGAAATAAATTCTGCTTGGCAGCATATATTGTATATCAAATCAAGTTGAAGTCCATTAACGTACTCTAGGTACAGGCACTAAACTGCTACACTGTTGAAATTAAATCCAGTCACACAGACTTGTACTCAAACAGTGAGCATCATTGTTTTTAACTACAGCTTGGAGGGAGAGGGAAGAAATCTGTGGTTATTTACAAAGTTACGGCATCTTGCTTTGTGAAGTTAAAACAAAAGCCTGAGTATTCTCTTCCTAAGGGGTCTATTTCTGAGTGTCTCATTATTGTTGTGGCAATGACAAAAGCCTTTGACTTCTGATTTAATATAAAGACATTTTGTTTTCTTTCTTTAAGACACACGCTTCAGGCCTCCTCATTTAAGGTTAGGCAAGTGCTTTCACAAATAACCATCCTTTCCAAGTGTGTCTGAAACGCTAACATCCTCTGTACTTCGCTACTAAAAAATATACAAGACTAGCAACAGGACTACATCAGTGCCCATATCTGTGCATAAGCTAAGACACTTGTTTTCATGTTTACTCTAGACATTCTTGTATTGCTTTGCAAAATAGAAGTGCCAATACTAGAATTCACTTGCATTAAAAATATCTTCATTTACACCAACTATCAATGTCATAAAAGACAGACACTGTCAAAACCACAGTACAACACAATACTCTAAAATAAGCTTGAAAATAAAGCTCATTCTCCACCTTCCCCTGATTTCATACAGAACACGCTTGATTTTCTTCCACTCAGCAGACAGAGGTTGTTTGCTAATAGATACAAATAGAAAACAAGCCAGGGCAGCTCAGTTTAGTTTAAATCCTTGTTTGTGCACTATCTTCACTGACAACATTACAGCTAAAGTTTGCTGCTATAGAACCAACAGGAAAGACTCACAGATATATAGCTGTGTCTTGCAAAAGTGGTAGCTCATTAGTTATAAATAGTTTATCATGCAGGTGGGAGAGAAAGATATTAAACTGCCTTAACAACTCAGTAAGATCCGCAATTTTTCAGAAGCTGTAATTACATCGTCGTTTCTCCAACATAAGTTTAAGGAAATAGAAGGACTAACTGCACACACTAAAAGCAGTCTTTTCCCCAGGTAAGCCTTCCAGTGTGATGATGTATATTAGCAGAACAGAATAACAAAGCACAAAGAATACTTCTACTTTAGAACAAGCTTGTAAAAATTTAAAAGACGTGTCAAATCCAGGCCTAAAACTACTTGTCATTTGCTGAGATGCATACAGCAAGATATTTTTCTTCTATGTAAATATGAATGGATACTCCTCTTAAAAGGTTTGCAGTAAACTCCAAACCCACAGAACTAGACCCGTATGTTGTCAATGGACTGTTTCAGAAAAGGAAACATTTGGATTGAATCCTTGTTAAGTCAACAGTAAAGTGTAAAAAGCCAGACACAGTCACACAATACTCCCAACACTTGCTGGTTTTTAGCATTCTACTCTTGACAGAGGAAAAAAAAATCCAGTCCTACTTTAAGGTATAACAGTCCCAAGGTGTGACTGCAGCTGACACAGACATAACTAATTTAACAAAAGCACGGACCTCAGGAAAGGCACAGCATCAGCAGCTCAGGACCCAGCCTGCTCAGGACCCTGGGTGAGTGCTGTGCAGCTACAGCCTGGACCACCACATGTGCTCCTACCAATATACAAACCACCTTGACTAACACAAGCTTTGGGGCAGACATACCCACACTTTCTTATCATGCACGCCAACAAGTGTGGATGTATTGCCTCCTACTGACATCAACAACACCTAAGTGGGTACCAACACTTTCAGCTGATGAGCAGAATTTTTATTGATCCAAGAAAGAAATGTGTACCACACACTATGAACAACTTCTCTCTGGGAGAAGCATCATATATTTCATGCAATACCACCTTAAGATACATTTGTTCTTTGTGAGAAAACTCCAGGAAGTATCTTCCAGTTTACCCATTAACAAGTGTAGAAAACACTTATGGTAGAAGCAAACAAAATATGTCAGCATCCTTCCTAACAGAGGAATAAATAAATGCTGGTTCTTCAGCAGGCTGACTTACTCATGAGGAAAAAAAAAAAAAAAATCAGACTACTTTATCACAGTAAGAGAATGGGAAAAGAAGCAGCAGCAGCATCTCCTTCAGGATGGCATTTGAGAGGTGAAAACTGCAGCATAGCTCTGCAGTTCGCTAGTTCCAGTTCTCAGGCTCTGTCATCTAGCCATTCCTACCACACAGGCTGCAGAAGTTACTTTATTTGCAAAATTAGGAAAGAGAAACTACAGTGAACATTTTCAGTGATTTCCTATGCAGCCTTCACCCCTAGATTCAGCGAACTAAGCCTGGGTGTTTAAATTCTCATGAGAGTCATTGGCCTATTCAGTCAATGGAGTCTAGTGGGTATTCGTCCACCTCCTCCACTCCACACACCTCCTCCCAGAGTACAGGCTACAAGTGGCCAGTTCTCTAAACTTCACCAACTGTTTTGACTAGATCCCTACTGACTACAACGGGAGTTTAGACACCTAGCAGACAGGCAGACACCGACGTTTAGATGTGTGAACCTTGAGCTACAACTCATCCCTTCTGTCAGTTGGAAGAGCCTGAATGCATATAAGGTAGCTGGACTCTGCTGTCAGAAACCCAAACAAGCTTAGTGGGAGATTCCGCAGATGCTAGAAAGCAGCAACATCACACCTATGCTGCACCAGATCTCCCGTTGGGAGCTAGACGCGCTACTTTCATCAAGTCTTTCTAGAGCTTTGAGCAATGAAAAAAAAACCACCAAACTTGACACATTCTTTAGTAGTGTTTTTATGGTTACTGCTGTCTTGTACAGACTCCCCCCCCCCATGTTTGTACTAAAGGAAACATCCACCCACAGCTGAAGCGTATTATACCTTGACACAGGCCTCACCTCTTCCCTTAACCCTAGGGAAGCTGGAGAGTCTTAGCATTGCTGAGCTGGAGGGGAACAAAAGGCAGCCCTATTCTACTGGAGTCTGCAATCTCCACTCCATACTGTTCGAGAACCAAGATGCTCCAGAATCCAGCTGGGTATACAGATTTCTCCTATATGCACAGACAAGGAGCACAGCTTGTCTCATCAAGAGGAAACCTTCTGAAACCATTTAAAAATCTCTTGGAACTACACGTCTTTCAACCTAAAAGCTATACACATGCCATGAAGAGCAGAAACCTATGTTAAAAAGGATAGTTCTAGATACTTTGAGACATCAAATAAGCAATGGTTACTTCAGACTACTTGCAATAAAGTGCTATAGATGAATCTTAAAGTAACAAAGAAGAAAGGCAGAAGCAGAATTACTGTTAGATAAATGGCATCTTAACATACACATTGGTAGTAAGAAACATATTTCACTAAAGCAGCGCACATGAATTTAATAGTCAGACTTCCCTGAGAAATTCTGAGGGTGAAAGAATGTGCTGCTTACAACGAGTTTATCTGTTAAGGAAATTGCATTTCAGTCAGGGTGAGATTCTGGCCTCCAAAAAAATCAACAGCAAAAACCCTATAGACTTAATCAGGTGAGTACTTCACTCTCCATTTCATCATTCTTAACCTTTGTCTGAAGTGGAGAGGGGTATTTTCCCATTGCCAAACCCACCAAGTTGTAATCAGTTGAGTTTTCATGTTCTAACCTTCACTGCAAAAAAATTTTAAACTACGAGGACTCAATTAGGCATAGATATACACAGTGTTACTCTCTGCTATACTAAGTTCCAAAGACAGACTTACCTTCCAGGTATAAATAATTTTTCCATTTCTTTCAATATTTACAATGTAGAGTGTTGATGAATTCTCCAAAGTATCTGAAATGATAAGTATCAAAAGGCACAGGATTTTCATTTGAGCTGGTTCATCATACAATTTATGCACACTTCAAGGAAAGACAACTAAATACATTTTTACACATAAATACTTCTTTGTATATGCTAAAATTACTCCATTCTAGAAAGAGAGAGAGAGAATATCTCTTATACCATGATTTAAATCTGATAAACTTCAACATAAAATAGGGTTTCAAAACACACAGGAAAGAATTATTTATGTAAACTCCTAACTCTTCATTATAATTATGATTCTAATGGCCACTACCTTTTGTGATGAAAACAGAACGTGCTTTTTCACCATCTTCCATTCACAGAAAAAAAAAAATTGCATTTATTCATTATACACAATACAAGGTTCACACAGTTAAGTTGCACTCCAATCCTCAGAACACTACAGGGAGATAGAGCTAGCTGAGCAAAGTGTCACTTGCTCCCCTGTCCCTTCAGCATCCCAAAGGAATGTCTGGAAATAAACTACATCTTCAGAGATTAGTTCTACAACAGCCACCACACACACAAAAAAACCCCACCAAACAAACAAACAAAAAAAACCCCAAGAACCAGAAGATTAATTACCATATATAGATAGATAGATGTGCAATGTACCTACAGAAACAAGGGAATTAAGCAATGCAGGACAAGATATGATGTGGGGTGTGAATGAAAGAGTAGCGTTAAAAGGGAAACAGAAGAGCAGGAAGCTAGCATGGACAGAGAAAGAGAAGTCCACATCTGGGCAAAGCAGCACCAAATAAAAAGTAAAGGAAAACACCAGAAAAAGAGATAAAATACCGCACTTAAGGTGACAAAAATGCATGCTTTTCTGATGCTGCCTTTCTAATCACTGCAGCCACCAAAACTCTGTTTATCTCAGATGGAACTTCTACTAAAAGTGGAAATTTTGCCCTTAATAAGGCTGACAGCTGCATGATTGGTCCTAGTTTTGAGATAAAGGCAGCCTGTGGTTCAGTGAGCATCAACAAAAAATTCTCCACAACTCTCATTGAGCATTTAGGCAAGACCAACACTATTTACTTTGCATTTATCACGAAGTGATCATAGAAGGAAGACCTGTGAAACTTAGTTTCACAAGCCTGGTATTATAAAACAGGCTTGCACAGCTTGCAGTGATAAGAAAAAAACTTTTTACAAGTATTATCAGAAGCTAGTAAGTTCTGTATTTTGTTGTGGGAGGACAATGAAAATCCTTACTGTACATTTAACAACGCATCATTTTCTACTGGTTTCAAGTCACTCAAAGTATACTACAATACCACTACATTAGGGCTAGCCGGTGACCACTGAGAAAGTCTCAGACAACCATACACTCTGCCATTCTTTTAGTGGAAACTTCCTGGAATTAACCACCACCTCAAACTTTCAAGATGAGTACTACAGTCTCCACACTTCTCTCTCATGCAATACTGCCTCAGAACACAATTTAGGTAGAGAAAAAGGTCCACAAGAAATCTCGATGTCAATTAATTTCTCTATCACCTGACACAGAGAGCTTAAAGGCACTGAAAAAGTTCCATGTCAGAAGTGAGTATCACGTCACTGAACATTGTTGGTGGGAATATACAGCCAAAGAAGAAGTGGCAATCATCTCTGCCCTTGGAAAGTCCTGCAGTAAAACTCTGCACATAGAATTACAACTTCTTCCTCATCCTCACAGCTGAGACGAGCAGATGAAGGGCTGCAAAAGAACCAACCCAACCTGCCTGCCCAGCAAACAACTCTTACCAAGATACTCAGGAGAATGCAGAGTCTGATTTCCTGAAGGCCATTATATGCAGCTCATACAAAAATAAGTGGAATAAACCAAACAAGACTGGTTCTCTTCACTTGCCACTCCCCTCCCATCTTAGTGCTCCCAGCCCCCATGCAATTAGAAATTCTCACATGGTATCAAGGGCTTTCAAGTCCTCAGGAAAGAAAATAATAAATATGAATAACTGTAACCTTCACATTCCTAATACAATAGCACTACCTCAGGGAAAAAAGTCAGTATATGCAGACAAAAGTTGAAATGCAACATGGCAATGCTAGTATCTGACCAGATGCACCTTCCAACGCAGATTCTTCTGATTCTGTATTACCAGAGGCATTTACTGAACGAACAGTCTATATTATGTTTTAAAAAGCTGATTACGGTTGTCCCTTTCGCAAACACAAGTCAGCACCATTTTGAGATCATGATGACATAAATGCATAGGTTAACTGACTCATTGAATTCATCACAAATGGACTGATAAATTCATAGATAAATTGATTAGGCATGGAGAATTTCAGAATTTTACCTCAAATCCCTTCAGTATACTATTCAACAGTTGTTCAGTAAACTATCTAGTATATGTGAAATAATTTTTAACAGATTTTGTAACTGATGGTTTGGTAAATAATTTTCTTTATAAAACCAAAAAAAGCTGATACTTTCTGGTTTGCCTCCAAACAAGTCTTACGAAACTATTTGATAACAGCTCCTTGATGTGGGAAGCAAGTTAAAATATTCTGACTTAATTAAAAGCAACCAAATGAGCTGAGGTTTCAAGTTCATCACACAATGCATCAATGACCACCTATTTCTACTGAAGTAATAAGTTTTGGGGTTTTTTTTAGACTAAAGTTTCCATCAGTTTCTGATAAAGCAGAACCGAGCCAGCTGCCCTGCAGATGAATGAGAACACAAGCAAACAAGCATAAGGCCAAGAATACAGGGTGGTCATTCTTTTTTTCCAACGACTACATCAAGCGCTCAGTACACTAGCTATCGCACACTGCTGTGACAGCTAACACTTGATCTAATTTTAACTAGCGCTCATTTAACACATAGACAAACGTGTGTTTTTTTTTTTTCTCCTAGAAAGGGGAGTAGCGTGGGAGAAGGTCATGCTAAGTCTTTTTGGGGGGGAAAAAAACCCAACAACCAACCAACCAAAAACCAAACGTGTGAAGAAGCAGAAGAAAGAAACAAGCTGTGGAGTGCAGCAGACGTGCACAAGCACTTTCTGCATGTGAGAAGCTCCTTGAAGACATCAAACTTCCCCGCCTCGACTCGGCCACAGGCACCTGAGGGACG